CGTCTTTTCTTTGTGCTCTGCAAATGCGACGGATGCGACTTAATGACTCCTTTTTATTTTTATTTTTTTTTTTTCGGTCGGTAAGGAAGGAGAAAACTACCTACGTCGTCACCGCTTTTCGGAGAAACACTGGCCCGAAAAATTTCCTCACTTGCCCGCGACGCGACGCGACGGCACACGTTTATTTTTCGATCTATTTACTTCACTCCCGCTTCTTCTTCGTCTCCGCTCTCTTCCCGGAAGGCGGTGGCGGCGTCGTCGAGCGTCGCGAGCAACACTGATACCCGCGTCACACGCGCTGCTGGCACACTGCACACCACTCCGTTGTTTACCCGAGCGCGAACGTAAGGATCGCGCGCGCGCGCGTGTACGACCGCGATTGAGATTGAATATCACCGCGAAAATGCGGAGTAAACACGCTCGAGGGTCGCGGTAACGATCGATGTGTCACTTACGAGAAGTTCTCGCGAGAAATCCTGACGGGCGTTAAAGCGCGCGAATGAAAGCGACGCAGACGAACCTCTCTCCACAACGGCTACGGAGCGACTGACGGATAGACCGATGGAGGGGGATCACGTTCTCCCCTCTCGGCCGGCTCAGCGTTACTCCCTTTGCTCTTCGCAACGTTTCACCCACGATCCACGAGTCTCCCACTTCTTCGCTGCCTACGTCGCCCGCCTCGCTCCCCCGCGGCCTGTCGGGCCCGCTACTTCGCGTTTAAAGCCGCCAAGCATCCCCTCGAATGTCTCTCGTCTCCTCTACGCTCGTATTAACCGGCGCGATAGCTCCTTCGCAATTAAGTCGCGTTACGTAAGGATCTCGAAAAGGCGAGCACGAAAATCACGGCTCGTTAAAACGTTGCTCTACGCGTCCCTCTTGCAAACTCCATCCGTCTCCCTCTCTTCTTCCCTCCCCTCTCTCTCTCTCTCTCTCTCTCTATCTCTCTCTTTCTCTTTCTCGCTTGCTCTTTCATATCTCCACTATTCTTTCTTACGTACAGTCGATCGTTTTATCGAGCTCCTTTCCAACGAGAAATGTTCGTCGTGATTTTCGATCGTCCATGCGCATCTTTATGATCGTCTTTACGCGTCGCTCGCCAGCGATGAATGGCAATTCCAGCGGAATGGAATTGTATCGTCATTACGGCGGCCTGGCGGGTCCCGATTTTGTCGTCTTGCCGACCGACGACGTCGCGCGGCGCGCGGCGGCACTTTGACTTTACAACGATATTGCGAAACTCGTCGCGCTCGCAATTCGTTCCTTCCGCGAGCGTACGTAAGGTGACTCGACGCTCTTTTTCTTCTTACTCATCGACGCTTTATCGACGTCGATTACCGGCCGTCTGTTTTTTTCTTCTTTTTTTTTTTACTATGTCCCGTGAAGGCATTATCGCCGCGATAATTACGACGACAATGTCGGGGAACCACGTGCTAATAATAGGCCTTTTCACGTTGTTGGAAATTTCCAAAAATGTTGCACGTAAAATGAAATAAATAAATATATATATATATACGGGTGTTGAAGAGAGAGAAAGCGAAGATGCTGAAAGTGCAAAAAGTACGAGCGAACGGATCTAATATTCGCGTACAATCGCCTTTCGCAATCCAAGCGATTCGGCGTATATCGATCTCACGAGAGACGATGATTAGTAAAAACTCGTTGCTCGCTGGCGTCGTTATCCCCGACGCTAGGAAGTACTCCACTACGAGTAGTTGGCCGTGCTCCGACTACGCGAGGTTGGATTTTCGCGAGTTCTCGCAAGCGGAGAAACGCCCGGGATCCATCGGAGTATTCCGGAGTACCGAAAAGTTCTCGGTCGCGGACGGATGGATACGCCGCGCGGCGTGGTATAAAACGAGGATGGACAGAGAGAGAGAGAGGGGGGGAGCGAGGGAGAGAGGCGCGGCATGCCGAGCATACGCGTCGGTATTAGTCGTTCCTCCGGGTTCGCTACGGCGTGTGCAAACAAATCGAAAGTTTTTCGCAAAATGGCCGTCACCGGGCTGACACGGATGTCCGCGTAAACTCCCTTTCGCCCCCTCTTCCCTCCCGATCCCCCCGTCGCGCTTTTCCCCGCGCCTCGTTTCCCCGCTTGTCGACCGGCTGCCTCTCTCGCCACTCGTGATTTCCCTCACTTCCCACACTACCACAAATATGGCGCCTCCACCCGTTTTCCCAACCCCTATACAACGTAGCTCCGCATAAAGCGACAGAGCGAGAGAGGGGGAGGATACACATACACGACGTACACGTACGCGATATAACCGGAATATATATGTATGCCCATACACTCTCGTGTGTACGTGCATTGTACGTGTGTGTACACGGACACGAGTGTGTAGCGAGTACCATCCTGTACGCGCGATTGTGTGTGCTAAGGGGGTGCCCCTATGTGAATATCGCGCGGCACACAGTCCCAAGCAGTTTCCTACTTGATTGCCGCTATCGTCCGCTCGCCTCGTAAAGGCGCTGACTCCGCGCGGACTCTGCCGTCGTGATCGTAACCTCGACCAATCAGCGCCGCTCCAGTCGACACTTGGCCAATCGCGTCACCGTCTGACGCGGCCGATCGACTCGACGGCGGCAAAGAGTCGAATGAAAACGCGACCTCGGCCAATGGCGTGGCAACTTTTTCAGATGACGCGCATACGTGATGTCCGCGCGGATTGTTCGCTCGCTCTGTCCCTCCCTCCCCCCCGAGCCTCTACAAGAGAACGTACCTATACTGAATAAAGGTGCTACGCGAAGCCGCAGCGAAACATGAAAAATAGGGGGCCACACGAGGAAAAACACGGACCCGAGGGAGGAAGGAGGATGAAGAGGAGGAGATGGAGGGCGCTGTAGGATGGATCCTACGAACCGAGACACCGAAGGCTGGGTGCAGTCGGGGTTGCGTGGGATGGGTCGGGAAAGGAGGCCGGGACGACTAGAGTATAGAGGCCGAGGATGAGAATGGAAAAGTAACATAACGAAACGTCGATCCCATTACCTGAAGCTCTCTCTCTCTCTCCCTCCTCCCTCTTTCTCTCTAGCCCTACCGCGCCATACGCTTCGCCGTTGCTACACGCCTCACCGCGCCGCGCCGTGCAACCATCCCCGATTTCGACCCTTAATCCAAAGGAGGATTAGAAAAGCCCATTGTCATGCTCCGCGGAACGCGGGATGGGTAATACGCGTACGCGTATGCGCGAAACGTCGTCGTCTCCCCCCCTCCCCCTCCCCCATGCACTTCTGACACGTACTGACGTGTGCGAAACACCAAGAGAAAAAGAAAAGAGAGAGAGAGGGAGAGAGGAGGGAGAGAGAAAGACTTTCCTAATGAAATATAATAAATACGCGACGAAGCGCGGCGCGCGCGCGAATGTATGGCACGAATGTATGGTGGTGCCGTTTATCGCGTGAATCGTGCGCTTTTTTGCGCGATTCAACGCGGTGCTCGCCAGATGAGTCTATCCCCCTCGCTAGGCGTCCACAACCG